GGAACAACACGAGGGTGAGTAATTAATGACAGAATTGTCATTTTTAACCCTTTAATAGGCTACTTTATCAAAAGAGTAAATAAACTTAGAATACTTAATTGTACTTTTTTAAATTCAGTACAAGTATAGGCCAAATATACTTAAACCTTTCGGTGTACTTGTCAGCATAAGCCAACTATATTTAAGTGTATTTTTGAATTTCTGATAGCTATATAAAAAGTTCACTGAACGTATACTCTCTTATTATTAGTTAAAAAGAAGTGATGTTGCTTCTTTTACTTAGTTCCTCCCAAACACTGCTAATAAAGCATCTTATTTGCTGTCTGCCTTTTTGAAACACACCGAAAATAATGGTAACATCTAAAACAACTGGTTTTATAAGTCAAAAGGATTATTTAACATCACTGAATCAACCTATATACAACAATTGAAACCAATAAAACTAGTTTTTATGGGTTAGAATCAGGTAGAAATAGCTCTCACAGTCTGCATTGTAAGTGCCTAAATGCTGTCCAGACAGGCAGCTCACTAGGTTTCAGACAGAGCTAATAATTTAATCGTGCATAAAGTCTGGCTTGCATGCCACAGAACTGTCTGATGCGCTTGATTTGGTTTCCTCTGGACCGTGTGTGTATGTGTTTGTGATTGTAATTGCGCTGGGCATGCGTCACGTGTCTGTGCTGCTGTGGGCTCAGGTTCTGGCGTCAGGTTCCTGCTCATCTGCTCTGTGTGGAGTCTAACAGTCTGGGTGTGGTGTGGGGCATCGCTCACGATCACACCGCCTGGGTCTACACGGGGGGCGGCGGGGGACCGTCTGCTCAGGGTAAACATGCACCCTGCTGTCATCCCTGTCCCTCTTACTAACCTACATCTAGGTTTGACCCTGCAAGATGAACATATGCTGGTTTGGTTGCTGGTGTGCTGATGTTCCCATGAGGCTTCACTAGCAGAGCTTTCTTGGTCGAACTGCTTAACCAGAAAGACCAAGATTTGCATCATGGTCCAGCAGTCAGACCAGC